CGGGTCCTTGAAGCTGTACGGTATTTAGTTAACACTGAACTGTACAGAAAACACAATATCATATTTGATAATGACTGGCTTAACCAAGTTGGCGATAGGGAAGAATTACCTTTTATCGCAGATGAATCTGATCGAGAAGAAGTTGAACAACTATTGCGACAACAGCTTTATTCTCAAGAAATCGATCAACAAGAAGAAGAGCTAAATCCAGGCGGTCATGAAACTTTATTAGAAAATAACAATACTGAGCTCGAACGTATTGCTTTGGCCCCTGGGAAAGGCCGCCGTCCAACAAACCTAACCCTAGATGAAGATGCGGAAGAACTTTCGTTCCCAACTATATCTTGCGGTGAAATATTTAAGGCCAATGTGACCTATGCAAAGAAAGCTAGATCACAGATTCGTTTCTACGACCGTCGTTGTGCAGTGGTACCTAAAGTCCTTTATATGTACAAGTTTTATGAGATGCAGCGAATTCAAAACACAATTTCCATCGCCCTACGAAAAAAGTCAGGTGCGGTAACTGCTGCAAATATAAGGGATGAATCATTTGTTGACAGACTTGTACAGCATGACGACGGGTATCATATTCTTAAAGGTCTACGTTCCGCCCCAGCTCATTGGGAGGCTGAAAAAAAAAAAGTTATTGCCATGATAAGACAATTTGGGTTGCCTACATTTTTCATAACTCTTTCCGCTGCTGAATCTAGATGGAATGAGCTGTTAGTTATTATTTCTCTTTTGGTGGATGGCAAAAATATAAATGAGGACGAAGCGGCAGCTCTTTCGAGTACCGAAAAAGCTCGCTTAATCCGATCTGACCCAGTAACATGCTCCCGTTACTTTGACTACAGGCTCCGACAATTGCTGAAAGTTTTCAAAAGTTCTGAGATATTTGGCGAATATACCCTAGTCCACTATTATTGGAGGATCGAGTTTCAGCACAGGGGATCGCCACACTCTCATGGCCTGTACTGGCTTTCTGAAGCTCCAAGGTTGGACGGAGCAGAGAATTGCGATCAAGTTATACGTTTTGTTGATCGGTTTATTACTACTAGCGGAGAAGATCCTGAATTGCAAGAATTTATTCAATACCAGCGCCATAAGCACAGCTCTTCATGTTTAAGAGAGCTGCGTGGCCAGGAATTCTGCCGCTTCAATATGCCATACCCTCCAATGCCTGAAACATTGGTGTTATATCCATTAGAAGAAAACGAAACCAATGTTGAACATTCTAAAGAATTGTTTAAAAAAATTAAAGAGCTTTTAAAGTCTAGTTCCGATGAAGAAGCAGGCACTTTTAATAATTTTAACCTTTTCCTGACCCACCTTGATACTACATTTGAAGAATATAAGTTTGCCATTCGCTCCAGCCTAAAAAAACCTCAGATATTTCTTCGTCGCAAATTTTCCGACAGGTTGTTAAATGCTTACAACAAAAATATTTTGGGCTTACATAGAGCAAACATGGATATTCAATTTATCCTAGATGCGTACGCGTGTTGTAGTTATATAGTTAACTACATTAACAAATCCAACCGTGGAGTGTCGCAACTCCTTCGCGAAGCAATGACTGAAATAAGTCACGGAAATATTTCAGTTAAAAGAAAACTGCAGCATCTCGGGAGCAAGTTCATTAACGCTACAGAGATTTCTGCCCAAGAAGCAGCCTACAACATTTTGGGATTACACATGTCAGAGGCTAGCGAAGGAAATATTTTTGTTAACACTTGCCATCCAGATAAAAGAGTGCGGATAGTGCGATCTAATAGGGAAATAGAACAGCTTCCTGAAAACTCCACTGATATCTTTGAGAAAAACTTACTTGATCGGTATGTACAAAGGCATGAACAATTAGAGTCAATATGTCTTGCAGAATTTGCGGCTTGGTACAAATTCGGCAAGTCCAACTCTCGAACAGAAAGGTCCAACGAAGATTATGATGAACCGATCGACTTGGAACCAGATGAGGAAAACGCCATTGCTGAACAATGTTTCGCACTGCTAGATGGGACTGGTAGTGTGAAAAGGCGTAAGCATGCCTTAATTCTTAGATGGGTTCGCTTTAGCTTAAACTCTTCCCCATCTGATTATTTTAGAGAGCATGTAATGCTTTTCTTTCCGTGGAGGAGTGAGGAATCGGAACTTATTTTAAATGACAATGAAAGTACATTCAGAAATAATTTTGAAATAATCAAGGCCAACAAAGAGCAATATGATGTGTTTGATGATATGGAATTGGAGAGGGTTCTTCAAGAATTGCAAAATTTTGATAGAGAACCAAACAGTCATCTTGCTGAGGGGCTTGCCTCCCAATACCTAGATGAAGAGTTTAGAGCCTTGGCAGTACCAAACGTTGGGCAAAACGTAAATGTACTCCAAGATGACATTGAAAATAACCCAGAGGATGGAGAACTTCAACTTATTAGACTTCCTCCTTTGGTATCTGAAGACACACTTTGCTCCCTTACTAGGTCGCTTAACTTTAAGCAACGCCAGTATTACGCCCATGTAATGCATAATGTTGCAGCAAAGAACATTTTTTATGAATATGTTGGTGGAGGTGCTGGAGTCGGAAAAAGTAGGCTGATTTCAACAATATATCAGTCTATAACGTGGCGGGCGAATAAGCTTCCTGGGGCAACTGATTCTGCAAAGGTTTTACTTTGTGCTCCTACTGGAAAAGCTGCTTTTGGGATTGGAGGACTTACGCTTCATTCTGTTTTCTCCCTTCCTGTTAATCAATCTTCGGGTCCGTTAAGACCCTTAAATAATGATTCTTTAAACACTTTGCATTGCAAGTTAATTGACATCCAATTAATTATTATAGATGAAATTTCCATGGTCGGATCGAAAATGCTTGGGTATTTAGATCAAAGACTTCGACAAATTTTTAGAACTCAAGATCTAATTTTTGGTGGAAAATCAATAATAGTGTTTGGAGATCTGAAGCAGCTTAGCCCAGTTGGGGATCGGTGGATATTCCTAGAAAATAGTAATAACCCCTATAACATTCTTGCCGGAGCTAACCTTTGGAATAATTTTAAGTTTTTTGAGTTAACTGAAATAATGAGACAACGGGACGATCACGCGTTTGCTTTGGCATTAAATAATATGTCCGAGGCTAATATGACAGACGCAGATGTAGAGCTTCTTAGGCAAAGAGTTGTTTCACCCACCGAGGTTGCTGATGACGCAATTCATTTGTTCTGCTCTAATGATGAGGTTACCCATTATAATACCTTTAAGCTTGCCCAAATTCAGACTGAAGAGTTCTTTTCAACTGCCATAGATACTGTTAAATCAGCAAATATGTCAGAAAGCAATAGAGTCAGGACGTTAAGAATGGCCCAAAATATGAAAACCTCAGAAACCCAGGGCTTACCATATATTCTTCAGCTAAAAACAACGGCAAAGTATATGGTTACCGTCAATATAGACACAAATGACGGACTAGTAAATGGTGCAACTGGCCAATTAATGCAAATTGACCATTGCATGGTTAACGGCTCCCATATAGTTACAGGACTGTGGATAAAGTTTTCAGGGGCCATAGCCAGGTCAAAAGTTCGAAGGAATGATAATCCCGGTTGGACTCCCATTCAGAAAACAGCCCGAGTTTTTCAGTGCGGAAATTCAGGACATTCTTCGATTGATCGTAAGCAATTCCCAGTTGTTCCTGCTGAGGCTATTACCATCCACAAAAGCCAAGGAGCAACCTACAGCAAAGTCGCAGTGCATCTTAAAAGAGGCATTAAGCGAGCTTCGCTTTACGTAGGATGCAGCAGGGCAACATGCGCATCGGGTCTTTTCCTTTTAGGAGACTTTGTTCCTCCAACTAGATTTGGAGCAACAAATGTCCAAGAAGAACTTCAATGTTTAAGAGGGGAAAAGGCTTTGACTACGCAATACGAATTCTTGTTCAATAGAAATTATGCCATCTCATTGTATTACCACAATGTTGAGTCTCTTCGTGCTCATCACGAAGATATTGCCAACGACAAAATTATTTGTTCCGCAAACTTTTTATGTTTTGTTGAAACCTGGACTCTTCCACATGAAGAGTATAATATAAGAGATTTTGACATTATAAGGAGAATAGATAGCAATCGTTTGAATGGTATTGGGAAGAACGGAATACTCATCTATGCTAAGCAGAGTATTTCGCAAAATGTTGTATTTTTGTTCGAAACAACTAAATCAATAAGCCCGATGAGCACCTATCAATCAATTGCATTTAAATTTCTTGACACGTCATTTTTAATTGTATATAGGAGTCCTAGATTTCCTATTACAAGATTTCGAAATGAAATTAAAGCTGACGTCGAAAAAGTACGCAGAATAGATAATAATAAAGTGGTAATATTAGGAGATTTTAATATTTGCAGATACTTAAGAACTGATTCTCTGGAGGCAATTTTAAATGCGTATAACCTTTTTGGAACAAACAGCTCTCCAACAACAAAACACCTTACGCAGATTGATTGGATATTTACTGATGCTCGAATTCCGGAAACCCTCGCCCTCATATATGAAACACCATATAGTCATCATGATGGAATTTTCCTCAGTTATAGCTTGTAAAGAAATATAACTATTATATAATAAGCGCTCAATTGTAAATAAATAAAATAAATAGATATAATATAAATTGTAAAAAGATAATTGTATATATATTCTAATTGTATTTATCTTTATTATTTAAGCAAATATAGTTTCCCCCTCGTGGATTGAGACCTTGTCGTGGTGTGGGGGCTGAGTACGTGAATTTCGAAATAAATATCACTGAAACTAGCAACAATCCGATAAAATTAAATAGGTTCATTTACTATATATTAACATGATAAAAATATAAGGCCAATTTACGCGATTTGATGGCTGTCATTTTCTTTCTGACCAAATAAATACACTGAATAATTATTATAACTGCAAGGGTATATAAACTTCGGCATGCCGAAGTTTGCTTCCTTTCTTGTTTTTCATTCTTTTCTAGTGATATGATGACGCAATCTCTGAGATTGATAGCATTTCTCTGCCTACTTTTTCCATTGCTGGTTACATCAAGTGAAAATTGGCAGGATAGTTTTAAAGACCCTGCTGAGGAATCTTCTCCTGATGAAGAAGCAATCATGGAGCGACGTTGGCAGCTGGGCTATGAAAACTGGCGTCTTCGATGCGAGAAATTCGAAGCGGAGGATAACCAGACATCTCCTATAAACACTCGAATAGCTGGCGGAGAACTGGCTACAAGTGGCATGTTTCCATATCAAGTGGGTCTGGTTATTCAGCAGAGTGGTAGCGATCAGGTAAAGTGTGGTGGTTCACTCATCACCCTTCAATTTGTTTTGACTGCAGCCCATTGTTTGACCGATGGCATTGGGGCAAAGATTTACTTGGGCGCCACAAGATTCGCCGATGTGCAAGATACCGCCCAAGAGTTCGTGGTCACTCATCGAGATTTCATCGTCCATCCTGGATACTTGGGGTTCGGGGGATACAATGATTTGGCTTTGATACGAATGCCTCAGAAAGTCATTACTTCGGATAGAGTGCAACCTATAGAGCTCGCTGGCGAGTTTATGCATCAAAACTTTCTCGAGGGTCAAGTGGTGACCCTTTCGGGCTGGGGCAGCTTGGGAGATGCGGCGGGAAAGAGACCCGACTTCTTCAGTACTTGGATGTGGAGGTGATCGACCAGGAACGCTGCATCTGCTACTTCTTGCCAGGATTGGTTAGCCAGCGACGTCACCTGTGCACCGATGGACGAGACAGACGGGGTGCCTGCAACGGCGATTCCGGTGGGCCATTGGTTTACCAATGGCGCAATGACAGCTACCTGATCGGGGTCACCTCGTTCGGCAGCGCCGAGGGTTGCGAGGTGGGGGCACCCACTGTCTACGCCAGGATAACCACATATTTGCCATGGATCCGACAGCAAACGGCAATGGCCAACTAAATGCAATTAACGCCTAATTGCAGCCCATTAATTGCTAAACAATATAGTCGGGCCAGACAATAAAACCAATTTGAGCAATGAAATCGAGACAGGTTCCTGCCGAGAAGGGAAGGTGCAAATGGTCCCTTTTATGGGTGGTTGTTTTCCCTTGAATGGAAATTGTTGCCGATAAATAACAATAAACATTTTGGCATTTCAGCAGAGCAAGTCAATTTGGGGAGCTTAATAAAAAGCACAAAAAGAAAAAAGCATTTCCATGGAAATTGCTGTTGAAATTGGCACTGCGTTTGAAATCGTCTTCGGGTTGAGTGTCCGTTTTTGTTGGTGCCGCGTGGGCTGTAGCACTCTTCCCCATTTCAGCTAATCGTCTTTAATTGGCCCTCTGAATTGGCTATTAACCGCAGCGATGTGGTCAGTCAAACGCGTCATCAAATCACGCGGCAATCGTTGATAAAGAACCGCTGCGGTTTGCGAAAACAACTGAATTTTGTTTGTTTATAAATTGAAATAGCACTCAATGGGCAAATGTTTCACAGCGGAATGATTTAGCTTTTATTGTTCAGCTCTGTAATTCAGCTGTCAAAATGGGCTTTAAAAATCAGAGCAGTCTGCTAGTGCAGGCTTGACCAACTAAACCCCCCCTCCTTGACCTTTAACGAAGGTAAACACACCGTACATACAACGCATCTAAACTACTGGCTTACAATTTCTCTCACTTTAGACAGTCGATAAGATAGTGCCCAAATACTATATTGCGTATCTGAGAAAACGGCACACGTCACCCGCTGAAGAGCAAAGCAAACCTTTGCCAATTTTATATTCGCAGTGTGTATGAAACTAATCAATTTAATTGGCAACCTCATGCTCGATTCTCAGTACCGCACCCGTAAAATCTGGAAATCCACCTGAGGCCCAGTGTCCAGATTAGATCCGTATCGGGATTAATACCCTTGGATTGGGAAAGTAATGTTGGCGGCCGAGTGGCTGAAGTTCATTCATTCATATCTTCCGCACAAATCTCGACAGATAAGGTGGTTCGAACCGACTTTGGTGGCCCTATCTAATCACGGGAGCTCTATTTGTGAAATGCAACCTAATCGCAGACGCGATTTCTCCACTATAAAAGACCCTTGCCGGGCCATGGTGGAGCAGTTGAGTTCCCTTCACTGAACACGCAACAATCACCGAGATGAAGTTCCTGATCATCCTTGCCTTGGCCGTGGCCGCCTCCGCCCTTCCGGAGCCGGAGCTGCGTCACCGCAGCCGCGAGATGCCCGTGGTGGGCAGCATCGAGGGCCGCATCACCGGAGGAGCCAACGCCGCCGTCGGCCAGTTCCCCTACCAGGTGGGACTCTCCCTGAAGCTGAGCGCTCTGTCCAGCGCCTGGTGCGGTGGCTCCTTGATCGGCAGCCAGTGGGTGCTGACTGCTGCTCACTGTACCGAGGGGTGAGTGTCCTTTCTGGTCTGGCAGGATGTACAGGTTTTCTTAAACAATTGATCTTCTTAACCGCGCAGAGTTCAGTCCGTGACCGTCTACCTGGGCGCCACCGTGCGTACCTCCGCTGAGGTTACCCAGACCATCTCCAGCTCCAAAATCATCATCCACAGCGGCTGGAACAGCGCCAAGCTGCTCAACGACATCTCCCTGATCCAGATCGCCGCCGTGGCCAGCAGCAGCAGGATTAGCGCCGTCAAGCTGCCCTCCATCGCCAGCTCCTACTCGACTTACACCGGTGAGACCGTGGTCGCCTCCGGATGGGGCCGCACCAGCGACACCGCCAACTCCGTTGCCACCAACCTGCAGTACGTCGACCTGACTGTCATCACCAACACCGTGTGCGCCAACACCTACGGCACCTCGATCGTGACCAGCTCCAACATTTGCGTTGCCACCCCCAACGGCCAGTCCACCTGCAACGGTGACTCCGGCGGTCCTCTGGTCCTCAAGAGCACCACCACCCAGGTCGGTCTGACCTCCTTCGGTGCCGCTGCCGGTTGCGAGAAGGGCTACCCCGCTGCCTTCACCCGTCTGACCAGCTACCTGGATTGGATCAAGTCCAACACTGGCATCTCCTACTAAGGAGTGGTCCGGGACTAACATTTCGCACAAAAATAAAACGATTTCTATTGAACATGAATGGATCAATGATTTGGTGGGGGGAGGTTTCATCAAACATCTCTACTTAGCCACTCGATAAAGAACACAATAGTAATTACGTTTACCAGTAAACATTAAACTTCATTATTTTCCGGATTGTTCTGACGAATCTAATTGATATCGAGTTAAAAAATATATTAATCACGATTGTTCAGAAAAACATGATTAGTTAAAAAAAAAATTTTGAACCAATAAAAAACCAGAAAGAAAGCCAGTCTCGGCCATCCGAAGATTATATACCCTTCGGCTCTTGCAAAAATTAAATATTATAGACTCAATTTCGATGATCAAATAGATTAAAGCTGTTTTCCGCTACTTACTATATATGGTTAGGGGTATATGTTGAGAAACAACGAAGCAAACATTTTATTTTCCTTTTTAACGGGGTAGAGTCTATCGGATATTTATAAAACTGAAACCGTATTGATAAATATGATATATCTCGAAGTATATGGACATATGTTAAGAAACATCGAAGCTCTAATTTTATTTATTTTTTAATGCATTGAAAAAGCTA